TTGCAGACAGTGAAGTGTGCTTGCTAGGAGAATAAATCAATGACAGTCCAAATCACCTCGTTCCTCCACTGGCAGGGAGCTCAACTATGAAGTCCATTGCAATCTCCTCCCAGGGCTTGGTGGGTTCGGCCACAGTCTGGAGAAGCCCAGGGGGCTTCCCTTGTTTGGACTTCATGGTGGCGCAGGTGGCGCAGCTTTTCACATAGTCTTCCACATCAGCTTTCATCTCTGGCCACCAGAATTATCTCCTAGTCAAATGAAGGGTTTTTAAAAATCCAAAGTGGCCCCCTAGTTGAGAATCATGACTCCTCTTTAGCACCAGGAGTCGCATGCTGTGGGGCACATAAATCTTACTCCCCTTCCATGCCAACCTTAGGGTTAGGTCCATCTGGTTTTCCTTGAACCAGGAATCATTTGAGAGCGCCGCTTTTAGCCCTGCTGTCAACTTGTCTTCGGGGAGGTTGGAACCATGGCACTCTGGTGCAGGCTTGGGCAGCTGGCTGAGTTTCCGAGATCATGGCTTAAACTATCTCTTCACGTCAGCTGTCAAACTGGGGCTTATGGGAGAGAGCATCAGCTAACAGGTTCTTCGCCCCCTCCCCCCCCCGGAATGTATTTCAGGTTAAAGTTAAAGCATTTGAAATACTGACCCCAGCGAACCTGTTTGGGGGAAAGCTTTCTTGGGGTCTTCAGCACCTCGAGGTTTTTGTGGTCAGTCCACACTTCAAAAGGCTCCTTAACCCCCTCTAGGAAGTGTTTCCAGGATAGGAGAGCCCATCGCACTGCAAAAGCTTCTTTCTCCCATACCATCCATCTGCGCTCAAGGTCTGTTAACTTTCTCAATACGTAAGCACATGGCATTAGTTCGTTTTGGCCGTTCCTTTGCAGTAGAACAGCAGCCACCGCCACATCACTCACGTCCGCCTGAACCACAAATGGTTTATTTGGGTCAGGGTGCTGTAGGATTGGCTCCACTGCGAATAGGCGTTTTAATTGTTCAAAGGATTTTTGACAGTCCATTGTCCAAGCTAAGGGTTGGCTTGGTGGGACACGGACCGGTTTTTAGCAATTCTATCAAGGGGAGAGCAACTTCAGCGAAGGAAGGGATGAATTGTCTGTAAAAGTTTGTAAACCCTAGGAAGCTTTGAAGTTGCTTACGGGTTCGTGGGGGTTGCCAGTTGAGAACTGCCTTCACCTTCCCCGGGTCCATTTCGATTCCTTGATTTGACACCCTGTATCCCAGGTAGTCCAAGGACTCCTTATGGAACTCGCATTTTGACAGCTTTGTATAAAGTTTTGCTGCTAGGATATTTTTGAGCACTTGTCTGACTAATTTGACATGTTCTTCCATATTTTCGCTGAATATAAGAATGTCGAGGTAAACAAGGACCCACTTATACAAGTGCTCATGCAAAACTTCATTGATCAGTTGCATGAAGACTGCGGGAGCCCCTTGGAGTCCAAAAGGCATGACCCGGAATTGGAAGCTGCCCAGGGGGCAGTTAAAAGCAGTCTTCCATTTGTCTCCCTCTTTTATGTGAACCGGGTAGTAGGTTTCCCTTAGATCTAGCTTGGTGAAAATCTTGCCCTTTGACAAGTGGTTCAGCAAGTCTTTCATTAATGGTAGGAGGTAGGTGTGTTGTATGCAAACTGCATTGATATTATGAAAATCAACACACAATCTCAGCCCCCCATCTTTCTTTTCTTTGAACAATACGGGGGCGGCCACCCTGGATTTTGCAAGCTTGATGAATCCTCTGGCTAGGTTTGTGTCAATATACTTCCTCAACTCAGTCATTTCAGCCGATGTCATGGAATACATCCTGGGTTTTGGCAATCTGGCTCTCGGTTCTAATTTGATGGCGCAATCTGTGGGCCGATGAGGGGGGGGAGGAAGTTACATTCCTCCTCACTGAACGCTTCAGCTAAGTCTATAGGAATCTGGGGTTCACCTGGAGGCTTGTCTGAACAAGCCTCCAGGCTTGTTGCAGCTGGTCGCAGCTGGTTCAGGCAACTGGCCTTTATGGGTAGGCTGCACCTTAGGATGAGGTGCAGGGGGTAATGGGCCAATGGATCTCTCCAATTAACATTCCATCTACCTGGTGAAATTTAATTAGGTGCTTTAAGGCTGATGTTCTGATCCCCCAGTTGTTCAACAAGTGGAAGTCCAATTAGACATCTGGTGCAGCCAGTATCTATTATTGCTGGCAGTTCTGCTTGCTTCCCTGTCTCTGGCACCACCAGTTTCACTTTAATTGAAAGGGGGGGGGGGGCTTCATCTCTGCTAGCCTCGTTGGGAGGAAATTCTTGTCAGACTGGCAACTCTTCCAGGAATCTGACGCCTTGGGCCGAGTCCCCAGCCTTCGGGCTTCCTCTGCAGCCTCTATGGCTTGCACCATTTCTTCAGAAGGAGAAAGAAAGGAGTCGGTAAATCCTTGAGCATCCATCCCCACAGCCCCCTCTACAATTTCTCCTTTTTCCTCCACTGAGTCTTCACACTACCTGAGGTTTAGGTAGATGCTGGGGCTCAGCACCCCCGACAGCCCCCTTTTGGGATGCTGTTAGGCTTTAAGAGGGATTCGGGTTAATGTCAGCATTCCAGAAAACCCCAACTCCGAGTACAGACACGGAAGCAAGCATTTTCCAAAGTTCTCTTTACTAGAATAGGTAAACTGGCAAATCTGGGAAAACCCGAATCTGAAAGGTCCGGGTTCTCCCTCAGTAAATCAAAACCCCCCAAACCATCCCCTCACTCCTCAGTCGATCACATGCTCCAATCAATGTCTGTCCCATCTCGACTCAGCACCCCGACCACTCCTTCTCCAGATGCCGGATCGCTCTGACCTTGACCAACAGGAAAAATGTTATTATGTCTACAAACAACCCCTCTACTAAATCCCCCCTCCTACTTTCCCACACATGAGAAGGTGGCAGCATGGAAGCTTCCAGTCTAATATGGCTTCCAATGCTGACAGCGGGAAGAGGAAGTCTCGGGCCCCAGTGCGCCCCCCCTTGAGGGCTTGCAGACCCCCATGGAAAGCCAGCAGGTGGTGGTGCTGGTGGCAGAGATCACCTTTCAAATGGTGACCCGGCTGAAAGTTTGAGCAAAATGGTCAACCACCGGGGACCTGTACTAGGTGGAGGAGGACTTCAGACACCGAGGCTCGGTCCCGGAACTGGCGAGAAACTTCCCAGTGACCTCGATGCGAGAGCCGATGGCCACTGTTCTCCAATGGAGGGAGAAGGGATCTCTGGAGCTGGATGAATCTGGGAACTGGAGATTTCAGATGGTATTCCACAGCCAGACCTTAGAGCAGTGGTCACCAACTGGTGGTCCGCAGACCACTGGTGGTCTGCGAGAAAATTTTGATGGTCTGCAGGCACACCCGGGTGGAGGAGCTGCTCCAGGATGAGCAATGGCCAGTCCTGTGACTAGAGCTCTGGCCAGGCAGCTCATAGTGGAGCTGTAAATCTCCGCCATAGAGGGAGGTTCGTGCAACTTGCAACTTTGCAGCACAGCCCTCGCTGGCCGGAATGAGGTAATGGTGCAAGGGGGGGTGGGATAGAGAGAGAGAGAGAGAGAAAGAGGGGGAGAGAGAAAGAGAGATGAGAGAGAGAAAGAGGGGGAAAAGAAATGAGAGAGAAAGAAAGAGAGAGAATCAGAGAGAGAATCAGAGAGAGAGAGAATAAGAATGAGAGAGAGAGAGTGGGGGGGAGAGAGAGAGGGGGGAGAGAGAAAGAGAGAATAAGAGAGAATGTGTGGGGGAGAGAGGGGAGAGAGAGGGGGGGAGAGGAAGGAGAGTGCCTGAAGGACCCCATCCTATCACTGGGAGTCCAGGCGCTTCAGCAAGCGATGTACTGGATTCGTATTAGTGGTCCGCAGGATTTAAAATTATGAACTTGGTGGTCCCTGAGGTCCAAAAGGTTGGGGGCCCCGGCCTTAGAGGGTTTACTGGAGAGGTTTGACAGGATGAGCCTTGAGAGCTTAGGGCAAGCATGCTGGGTTGAGCGAGCTTCCCATTTTGACCTCTCCCCACTGCTGTTGCCTCTGCTACTGGACTCCAGCCTAAAACCAAACAGGCAGTTCGGCTGCCACCCCACAATGCCCCAGCACCATTTGACCTCCCCAGGACCGTCCCCAGCTGTGCGCAAGCACCGATGCTCTGCTGGCCTCCCAAGCTTTGGTGTTCACCCTGGATCACCCCTTCCAGCCTTGACTGGCCCATCACAGATGCCCCTTGATGTGAGCGATGTTGAGTGGGCCATGGCCACCCAATCACGTGACCACCTTGCCACACCCACTTGGCCCTTTGAGGGAGACCATAATGCTGATCCGGCCTTCAATGAAATTTGACACCCCTGACTTAGAGGAACAAAACCAACAATTTGTAGATCAGACAATTTTTTAAGGGAAGTGTGTTGACTGCAAAAATCAAAAGTGTGACGGAGAGGCTCATTAATAGAAAAGAAGTGATAGAGGGGATTGAAGTTGCAAGAATTTTGGGGGAGAGTGACCATGTTATATTAGAAGTCAATACAATAAAGATTCAAGCAACAGAACATAATCAAACCAGTGTCTTAGACTTTTAAAGAGTGGATTTTGACAAACTCCGAGAAAGCTTGGGAAGGATCCCATGGATGAAAATCTTAAAGGGGAGCTCAACTCAAGAAGCTTGGGAAACTCTGAAACATATGACTATAAAAGCCCAGTCCAGCTCAATACTAAAAGTCATTTGATGTGACATACGACTCTTGTTTTAACAGGAGAAAAATATACCTGCATACTGTGTATGATTTTCAATTCAATGACGAGTACCATGTATAAATAAAACGTCCCTAAAAGGAAAAATAAATTGCAAAAAGCATGCCTTTATGGGAAAGCTTGTCAAGTAGAATGTACCAAAACATACAAGATCTGGATTCTTAGATTAAGTGAGCTTTATATCTATAGATTCCCAAATCAAAATGAACAACTGGAAAGCAGGTAACATTTTCTGTACCTAACAGTTTCCTGGTGTCCAATTTCTGTCTGTTCAGAGGGTTAGTACCATAAATCAATGTGTGTGCTTCTGAATGCACAGTCTGTAATTCTTCTAGAGTTGCTTTTCTTCCACGGATACACTACAGGAGAAAAGGAAGCAGTGAAATTCCATTTCCCTTGATGAAAAAGCAGCATCCCAAATAGAAAAATATAAATAAAGGTGTACACAAATGTCACTGACCAAAGAGATTACATTAGAAATGCACTGACTTCACAAAACTTCTCTATTTTAATTCTGAAATTTTGAACAATTGTATGCAAAAGAAAGAATTTTAGGATGCTTGCTGTTTCAGAGACAGAAAAACAAGAATATTCTTACCACAAATTTTTGTTCTAGGAACCTCATGGAGTGAGGTGGACATTCTTTGATTTAGATGGTACTTCCTTCTGGTACTTATAAGGCAAGACCACCTCTGTCAGGAGGAGGAAATGCCCATATTACCCACATCAGAATTACACAAACAAATGGCTATTAACCTCCATGCCATCCTAATCCCTTCTAGAGGTTTCTAGAAGAGAAATTATAGAAAGTGTACATTTTTTCCAAAGTTTCCAAAAAAGACATTACAGACATAATAGAAAAATTAAGAGTGGCAGAACAAGATCAGGGACTTTAATCCCAGAATTTCTAAAAAATCTTCTGGACAAAAGCTGTAAGAAGAAAATGCATGGTCAGTTTTATAAAATTTGCTGAATGCATAAATGGAAGACACCTTACAGATGTCTAGAATAGAAAAATCCCCTTTAAAAGCCAAGGTTCCCACTCTCCATAAAGGAATGAATGAAAGCTATTTCCTATCATCTAATATTCCAAGGAAAAACAATCCTTAACCCAAATGTAGATGAAAGACCAAGGACATTTATACCACCTCTGATGTTTTCATACAGCTGCTCTATTTAGAAATTGGCAGAAATGTTTATGCCAATTGTATTATCTGAAATAAACTTCACCAAGGGTACACTGGGGAAGGAAGGAGGTGGCATTGTACTGCCACCTTGTACTTAATTGCAATTAAGAGAAAAGGGAGTTTCTTAGCCTTTATGAAATACTATTTTATATGTTTATCATATAAAATACACAATTCAGAATTTCACCAGTGTAACATTAGGTTTAAATGGGTGCACCTTGTTTCAAAGTGAAAGACATAAGATAGGAGTGAAATAGCACCACCATTAGGATTGAACTTACCTGAACATGTATCCAGTGGCACTACCTTTGGTGCATTTGTTAAGCTTCTTAATTTTTAACAAAAATGTTTGATAAAAACAGTCAAAGTCAAACCATGAATGTTAGAAGGCCCAATTTTAATCAATCAAGATTGATTAAATAAAATCAATAAGGAAGATCCCATTAAAACCTTAAAGGTGTAATAGCCAGCTGGAACTTCTTGAAGGGGAATAGAAATCATAGTGCAGTCACAAACAATGTTAGAAAGAAATATAAGGGACCCAATGTCACTGAATAGGGAGCTTGATAAGGAGCTGAAATAAAGAAATCTGTTTATTGGAAATGGAAGGAAGGGACAATTTGACCAGCATTCTGGTCCCAAGTTATTTATGAATTATAAGTCATAAACCTGGTTTGGCCACTCACTGACAGCCAGTGCATTTGCATGTGAGTAGCCAGTTGCCCCACAGCAATCTATTAGTTATATTCTATAAGCGGCTACAACTTCCAGAACAAATGTTAAAAATAGCCCCACTTAAAAATAATCTAAATATGAAGGCTGTTCACAGTAACAGAGAGGCTGTTAACTTTTTCTGTAGGAAACAGTGTAGTTACTATATCAGCTAAAGATGACAACAGACACTCCTAGCCATCATGTGATCCTACAGTGGCAAAAACTACATACAAATGTATGTTAAATAGCATAGGGGACAAAATGATATGTTGTGGGACACCATAGCGTAGCTGCCAGGTTGTACACTACAGCCATCAAGACTAAGACTTCTTAGACTATCCTTGAAGTAGAATTGGAAACATTTTAAACAAGTGCTCCCAATCCTTACCTCCCTCACAGAGATGGTCTACAAAATACCATGATTAAAATCTATTGTGAAATCAAGCAGGTTCAACAGTCATATACTCCTGTCTGTTCTGCAAGAGTTCATCTCAAACTCAATTTCATTAAGGGCTGCATCAGGGTTGTGTTTGACCTCAAGGGGCCAGGGTGGGCATGGCCAGCTCGAAGTCACTCGTGTTGGAGGCACCTGTGGTGGCCTGAGCACTCTGCCAGCAAAAACGGGCTCCCAAGCTCCGTTTTCAGCTGCGACGGCATCCTGCAACCCTCTGCCAACGAAAATAAAATTTGGTGGTGGGGGGGGGGCATGCATGGCCCTTGCGAGCTCTGTTTTCACTGGCAGAAGCACCACGAGCCAGTCCTTTGCTCTTTCCAGGGCAGTCCCGCGGGCCAGATCTAAGCACCCGGCGGTCTGAATCCAACCCCCAGGCCTTGAGTTTGACACCCCATAGCTGATTCTGTACCCAGATCAGGCTGAGCAGATTGAAAGGGCTGACATAAATAGGGTCTTCCAAATATATATAAAGCTGCATAATTATCACCCTCTCAAGCACCCGTCCCAAATAAACTCCCCAGTAACTGGACAATAGTTGACAAAGTCCTCTGTATCTAGGGAAGACCCCCCCTCAAGCCTCCCCCAGCTGGTTCCAATGAGCCAAATTAGGGAGGGGTCAAGGCAGTGGTGAAATCTCAATCAGTTTGCTACCTGTTTGCTGGCTGCACATGCATGCTGCTTGCCAAGTGCATGAGCATTGCACACCAAGCACATGAGCAGACACAGTTCGCATGCGTGCTGCATGGGCGTGTGTAGTATGTGCCAAAAGGAGGCTTGGGAAGGTAAGTAGAACAGCGGGGAGGGTAATCAGCTGTGCCGCAAGATCTTGGGAACCTTTTAAAAAACTTTTTAAAGCACTTTTTACTACTGGTTCGGGCGAATAGGTAGTAAAAAATGCTAAACAAAACATAAACAAAAAAAGGTCCCGACGATCACAGCTGTGCCGCACGATCGTCGGAACCTTTTTTTTTTTTTTTTACTTTTTTAAAGCATTTTTTACTACCTAACAGGTAGTAAAAAATGCTTTAAAAAGTAAGAAAAAGGTTCCCAGGAACCATTTTTTTATCTATTTAAAGCATTTTTTTACTACCAGTTTGGGCAAATAGGTAAAAAAGTAAAAAAAAAAAAAAGGCTGAGACGATCACAGCCGTGCCACGTAATCGTCCGAGCTTTTTTTTACTTTTTTAAAGCATTTTTTTACTACCTATTCATCCAAACTGGAAGTAAAAAAATGCTTAAAAAGTAAAAAAAAACAGTTCCAACGATCACGTGTCACTCAGCTGATTGTCGGAACTTTTTTTTTCCATTTTTTTTTTTTTACGAACCAGCCCGAACTGGTAGCATTTCATCCCTGGGTCAAGGGAGCATATCATAGGGTAGACAACCATAACCATCTTGTCTATATATTCAGGCCTCATAAACTGAAAGTGATTTTATCTAATTGAATCACAACACTTACCGAATAACTCGCAAATATTACATCAAAAGAAGTCTTCAAATTGGCATGAAACTAAAATCTCTAATGCATTTCCTCACTGTCAACGAATTTACTGGCAGTGACTTCTTGAAAATGGAATTTTCAAACGGCAGAAATTCAATAATTGAATTATTGAAATATAAGACAAATTCAACCATGGAACTAGTAATTGGGAGAGGTATGGATTTTCTTTTCACTACCTGTATTCATATGGACGGTGAGATGAATCAATTGACACAGATGCTTTAATCTCATACGCATGAGTAGGAGTTGGCAACCTGTGGCCTGACACCCAGTATCATCCATGGTCCCAAAAGAAATATATTCACCTAGTCCGTGCAAGGCATTGGGACCATTGTCTTCTCAGCAGTCATTTTGTCAATGGCTTAATCAGCCATCTCAGTGTGGGAAGAGCAATAAGTCTCCCAGAAAAGTGGCAGTATAGCTTCTGCACCATAAGTTGAAGAAGGTTGCCAACCCCTAACCTAAATTGTTTCTTTCAAGTCTAGGATTTGAATCATAGAATAAAACATTTAAAAATATACCTGGAAAAACAGAAAACACTACTTCTCTTTCTTTGATAATTTACATGTAAAACAACTATGGTCAGTAGTGATGTAGTTCAGAAATTTCTGCTGTAACATCTAGAGATTAAGATGCCAAAGCCACTGTCCCTCCATTCTATTAGTTTATCTATTACCTCACACTTGCTACGAAGACCTGTTTCCTGAAGCCGTGACCAAATGCTTTGGATTCTCCCTGCATGTTCTGGATGACTGTTTGTGTTTCCACAAACGCACTGGTGTTTCAGCATCAAGGTGTCATATACAAGGCCTGCATCAAAGGATATGCATTAATTCAGGCTACAATCTTACTTCTAATGACAAGGTGAACAAATTCCCCAATGATCTTATTTCTCTATAAAGTTGCATAAAGATATGTTATTTATAATTTATATATGCATATGGAAAAGTATAATTTGAAATAGCAAATTTCAAAATAAAAATGTAAACACATTTTTATTAACAATAAGAAAATAAAAAGTTCTAACTTTTTGGAGTCCAATTTATTTTATTTCCATCAATTCCAGAACTTCTGATATTTAAACAAGAATGTAGCAATAACAATAGCAATACTATATATTCGTATTACTTTATACTTATATAGTGCTTTACAGCCCTTTCTAAATGGTTTATGGATCTAGCATATGGCCCCCAACAATCTGGGTTGTCATTTTACTGACCTCGGAAGGATGGAAAGCTGAATCAACCTTGAGCCAATTAGAATTGAACTGCTGGCAGTCAGCAGAATTAGTCAGCTGCATTCTAACCATTGCACCACCGCAGTTCTTACAATGTTAATAGAAAATAGGGCACAACCATTATTATTGTTGTTGAAGATATACAAAATATTGTTTTAAGATAATATTTTGGGCTGGCTGAGATATGTTAAATCATGATTTAGCATGATGAAAAATGCCACTTATTTTCCATCTTCTTTTTCTTGCCAAGAGCAGAAAATATACCTGGATAGTGCTGCATTTTCTTTGAAGGAATAGGTACATCATTTGTGATATTTATTTATTGATTAAATTTAGAAACTGCTCATTTCTCACATACAGTGATTTCAGGTGGTGAACAAATATAAGAACTTAACAGCTGTATATAAATATCAGGAGGCATGCATATGTTGGATTGTTGTGCCCATTTGCCTGAGACTACAAAGATCCATTTTTATTTGGAGAACTATCCTGATGACATATGAAGAAAGCATTTCTAAAACAACAAAAACTGTTTTCTTTAGCTCTATATTATGCAAACCTTTTTACATTTCTTAAATTTAGAAATTTAAGTTTTCTAAATTTGAGGAGTGAAACACTCATTTTCCAGATCTATTTCACAGGCCTATTGTATTCTAGAATTTGCTTACTATTGCTGTTAGTTTAAAAAAAGAACAGAGTTTAAAACTGGAAAAAAATCTCTTAATTTTTTACGCAGTAATACAAGGCAAGCTACTACAATAATGTGAAAAAGAAAGTAAACCCTCTTTGAGTTCTATGGTTTTATGTATCAGAACATACTAAAATCATCTGGTCCTTAGCAGGTCTTAAAAGCAGGTAAATACAACATCAGACACAACATGTTACACCATATCATCATTTATTTTACAAAAAGAAATCAAAAATCCATCTGTAACAAACTAAGTACACCTTTACTGCTTTCATAGGTATGAAAAGGCTAAATAGAAGCGAGGTGCTGTTAATCAAGTGCTGTTAACCAATTGATCATTAGCAAGTATGACTACCTCTATAAAAGCCAAAGTTTTAAGAATTTCTTGGTCTCTAACACTGAGTCTCTAACACAATGCCGAAGAGGAAAGACTTCAGCAAAGATCTTAGAGAAGCAATTGTCGCTGGGAAGGATTATAAGGATAAATATTTTTTTTAAATGGAAAGATGGACACATATCTAAGGCAAAACACCAACAAATAGCCTGAATCTGCAAAGTCAGAAAAATTAAGGCTCAGAGTGAACTGAGATCCGACAGTAAGTTAGAAGAATGTGGCCTAGACAATACCACCACCAGATGGATTTATAACTGGCTGACAAACCGTACACAACATGTAGTCCTTAATGATATTACATCTAGTGGGATACCCCAGGGTTCTGTCTTAGGCCCAGTACCCTTCAATATCTTTATAAACAATTTACATGAGGGAATAGAAAGGAGAACATCAAATTTGCAGATGACACTAAGCTGGCAAGAATAGCAAACACCCCAGAAAATAGGGTCAAGCTCCAGACACATTTAACACTGGGCCCTATCTACCGTGTTTCCCTGAAACTAAGACCTCTCCGGATAATAAGCCCAAACGGGCTTTTGAGCGCATGCACTAAAATAAGCCTTCCCCCCAAAATAAGGCCTTTGAAGTGCCTGCACAGCCGGTCCCCGCCATTTTCTCGGGGGGGGGAGGTGAAAGGAAGGAACATGCCCCATGTGCCCCATACGCACCTACCATCCACACGGAATGGCCTTGTGGAGGCTTCTTCTGCAAACCCTAGAAAACCTAGCAGTGTGGTCAGGCTGATAGCATGGTGCAGAGTCCTGGAAAGAATGGCTGGAAGTGCGTGCACAGCCACAGCTGACGAGTGGCTGTGTTGGTCTGCCGCTGGAAGTTCCGTTGCCGCTGCCGCCCTGTTCTGTTCCGTCGCGCATCTCGTTGCCTGCCAGTGCTGCTCGCTGCCAGACCCAGCCAGGAGAGTGGCCTACTGATGAGCGGTTGGCTGGTGCTGTCCTGATGTGTCCCGCTGCCACTGCCACCACCTTGTTGCAATCCTAGAATATGCTGAAGGCTCGGAATGGGGCATTTTTGCGAATGGCTTGAAAATCAGGAGGGGGGATTTTCCTGCCTCTTATCCTGTTCTCAGTCTGTGCTGAGCTTCAGAACAGGGTAAGAGACAGGAAAATCCCCCTCCCCATTTTCACGCCATTCACAAAAACGCCCCATTCCGAGCCTTCAATGTTGCAATCCTGGAATATTCTGAAGGCTCAGAATGGGGCATTTTTGCGAACAGCTTGAAAATGGGAGGGGGGATTTTCCTGCCTCTCACCCTGTTCTGCTCAGCACAGATGAGAACAGGATAAGAGGCAAAATCCTCCCCGTTTTCCTGGTGACCGTTCTTTACTTGGGATCACAGCGCAGACCCATATCCCCCAAATGCTCTATCCGAAGCCTTCAACTTTGCAATCCTGGGATGTACATCTGTGCAGAGCTCCCAAGGAAAGGACGGTGTGTGTTTGTGTGTGTGGGTGTGTATGTGTGTGGGTGTGTGAAAGAGAGAGACAGAGAGAGAGAAAGATCCCTAACCCCCCTAACCCTCCCAAGGTAGCCATATCGCTCCACTAACCTGCTTTCCAGCTTCACTCTCCACTGCCACATGAAGGGGAAGAAAAGTAGTCTGTGGGACTATCAGTACAGTAAAAAAAAAACCTTCCCACCGCGAGATCTTTTTTTTGTGTGTGAGAAGTTGGAAAATCTGAATTTCTGGTATTTTTTTTTTACGATAGTCTCACAGACAGAGAACAGAGCTGGAAAGCAGGTTAGTGGAGGGATGTGGTTGGGTGGGGGCTAGGGTTAGATCAGATCTCTCTCTCTCTCTCTCTCTCTCTCTTTCTCACTCACATGCACACAGACACCCCCAGGTATGGTGAGCTTGTGCCTCCTGCACCTCAAAAAAAACAAGACCTACCCAGAAATAAAGCCAAGCACTTAGGTCATTTTCGGGGAAACATGACAACAAAATGAAATTCAATGGTTTGTAAACCATTGAAAAGTAAGGTTTTACACTTAGGCAAGAAAAACCAAATGTACAGGTATAGAATAGATGGAACCTGGCTCAATAGCAGCAACTGCAAGAAAGATCTAGGAGTCCTAGTAGACAATCACTTAAATGGTTGTCGCAAAAAGGGGATTGAGGGGTTTTTTAAAGACTTTTTAAAATAGACTTTTAAGGGGTTCTGAGGGGGGGGAGGTTATGTGGGTTTGGGGGAAAACCGACGGAGGTTGGAGACCAGTCCGGCTGCTATTAATGGTGCCGTAGGGGGTGCAGACTCTGGGGGAAAGGGGACTGTTAGAATGCCCTCTAGTGAGGGCTTCTCTATTAATACGCTGAGTGGGAGGGGCAGGTATGGCGGGAGCAGGGGGCCATATCATGTGGTGGGGGCACGTGCTCGCTATCTTCGAGCGATTGCGTGCCCCGGTCCCCTTAGGTCTTCCCGTTCCCCAGGCTGCTTAGAGTCTCAGCGCCCGAGTCTCCGGCTGATGTTATGTAATGCCAGGTCCGTAGTAAATAAAGCCCCCCTCATTTGTGATCTTATTCAGGAGGGGGGAGCGGACCTGGCAGGTATCACGGAGACCTGGTTGGGCCATGAGGGGGGAGTTCCCCTCGTGGAGATGTGCCCATCAGGCTTCCGTGCATTTCATCAGCCGAGAGCTCAGGGCAGGGGCGGGGGGGTGGCGGTCATTCTAAGAGAAGGTCTTGATCCGAGGGAGACCACTGTACCTCAGATAGCCGGATGTGAGTCCCTTTTTGTGAAGTGGGGTCGTGGGGTGCAGATGGGTCTGTTGATCACGTACCTGGCTCCCTGCCACGTGGCAACGACCCTGCCCGAACTCCTCAATGTTATAGCCGAGGTGGCGGCTGATACCCCCAGACTTGTGGTCATGGGGGATTTCAACCTGCCATCCATCGGTGAAACATCTGAGGTAGCTCGGGAGTTCATGGCTTCCATGACGGCCATGGACCTGACCCAAGTAATTCACGGCCCTACTCATATGGGGGGACACACTCTGGACTTAGTTTTTATCTCTGGTCAGTGGTTGAGTGGCCTTGATATAGGGGATGTAGATATTGAACCCTTGTCATGGTCTGATCACTCGCTCCTTCGACTTGACTTTCTGACCGCCTTACCCCATCGCAGGGAGGCGGAACCGACCAGGTGGTTCCGCCCCAGGCGCCTGATGGACCCTGATAGGTTCCAGATGGAGCTTGGGCCATTTCCTGAGACTCTAGCTCATGACTCGGCTGATGACCTGGTGGCTGCCTGGGATAGGGCGGCTGCCGGGGCTTTGGACTGGGTCGTGCCTTTGCGGCCTCTGACCCAGCACCGAACTCACTTAGCTCCTTGGTTTTCCGAGGAGCTGAGGGAGATGAAGCGCCGGAAAAGACGCCTAGAGAGCGGTTGGAGGGCCAGTTGTTCCGAGTCTGACTTGACACTGGTAAGGTCTCATATTAAGACCTACCTAGTGGCGATAAAAGCGGCAAAATCTAGCTA